TTCTCCTGAAGTGTCCAGGAGAAAATCTGTTTCCTTGCCTTTTCCAGCTTCTAGAGGCCACCCACATTCCCTTCCTCATGGCCTCCTCTTCCATCTTCAAAGCAAACAAGGTTGCATCTCTCTGGCCATTCTTCCATAATCACATCTCCCTCAGACCCTGAAACCTTCTACTTCCTTCTTGGTCCCAACCAGTTAATCCAGGATAATGTCAGCATCTGCTAATTAGCATCCTTAATTCCATCTGCAATCATAATTCATCTTTGTCATACAATGTAACATATTTCCAGGTTCTGGGCATTGGGACATGGACATCTCTGGAGACCCATTATTCTGCCTACCATAGAGGACAAGTCTTAAATTAACAATGGAGAATTAGGGGTGCCTGGGTGGCTCAGTCGGTTAAGTGCCTACCTTCAGCTCAGGTTATGATCCCAGGGTCCTGAGATCCAGCCCATGTCAGGCTCTCTGCTCAGTGGGGAGCCTGCTTTTCCTTCTCCCTCTGCCCCCTCCCTCTGCTTATGTGTGTACATGCTCTCTCTCTGTCAAATAAATTAATAAAATCTTAAAAAAAGAAACCAATGGAGAATTAATATTCACAAAATATATAAAATCTGAGTTGGGGAATTAGTCTAGGGTCAAGAGTAACAACCAAAATTCCCACCAAAAAAAAAAAAAGGAGTAACATTTGAGGTGAGATTACCAGACAGAAATCATCTGTCCATGGGTATGGGAATAGAGGGTATATTCAGACAGAATAGGAGAGGTCTGGGAAGCAGAGCATCAGCCATAAGAGAAAGGGTCAGGATGTTAATTTCCAAGCCACTTTCCTGGTCTTCCTCCGCCACCAAAAGCCTTTCTCCTGCCACAGCTCTCTGACTGGCCTTGACCCTAGATTTCATTACTTGATTGGCTTATGCTGGGATGGAGGAGTTGAATGTAAACACTAAATAAGCACCTGAAGGAGGCTTACCCCGGCAGGCTTAGTAGCTCCATGACTGCTCTACACCATTAATTACCAAGGGTTTAACTGAATCTAAGTACTCAGGCTACCATATCAGAGTATTTATTCATTTACTGATGGCACAGGACTGCCAAATCCAAATACAGAAAGAATTCAGATAGATCTGGGGACCAAAAATATGGACGTCACTGAAAAGGCATGGCCCACTATTGATGGGCTTGATATCTATTCCCTTCTTCTCTTTAGTAAGTATGGCAGTTTCCTTTCACTGCTGTAAAAATCTGTCACAAAAGTGTGGCTTAAAACAACAGAGTTTTGGTCGGGCTGGTTCCTTTTAGAAACTCCCAGGGAGATGCTATTGCCTTGTATCTTACAGCATCCAGAGTCTACCTGCATTCTGTGGGTCCTCACCCCTTCCTTCATCTTCCAACACTTCACTTCTACCCCCATCACCTTCTTTGAACTGACAGCACTCTTTTGAGGACCCTTGTGATTCCATTGGGCTCACCTACATAACCCAGGATAACCTTCTCCTCTGCAGATTCGTAATCACATCAGTGAAATCTCTTTTGTCAGGTAAAGTCGTGTATTTGTAGGTTGTAAAAATTAGGACATGAATATCATTGAGGGTAGGAGACATTACTCTATCTCCCATGGTAAAAGAATCCTGATTTTCAGCTTAGTACATGGCCAGGTGGGATAAAAACCACATATCACAGTCTCCTTTGTAATTAGGTGTGACCATTATGAAACTAATGAGATATAAACTGAAGTATTGTGTGAAAATTGCAGGAAGTGAGCCTAACAGAAAGTGGTATGCTCTGTTGCCTTCTTCCAACTTGATGGTTGGAATGCGAATACAATGGTTAAAACATCAGTAGCCATCTGGGATCAAAGAGGAAACTCTTGACAATGGAAGCCCTACATAGTGGAACAATAAGATGGGAGGAATTTGGGGCTCTTTTGGAAACCAAAACAAGCCTAAACTGACCTCTTAAATGTGAGACATCTTGAATGTGAGAGAGAAATATATTACTATGATTATTTGGAGTTTTCTGTTATGCATAGCCAGATTTAATGCTAACAAATACAAATATATTTTTGCATTAGAAGAATTAGTATTAAACTTTCATCTTTTAGAAAATTTCTACACCGGCTCTATGTATACAAAATATTTTTTGTAACAGAGGGACTTTGTTATAATGATAGCTAATGTGTTTATATGCAAGGAACCAAAAGGAAGTCTCTAGATAAAGTTGGATTTAGGTAGATTAAATACAAATTTATATCATTGGTTAATTTCATTTTTACTACAACTTTTTCCTTTGCAAAATCCTAACAAATTTATAACTTGAAAGGATTGGTTTAAAGGCTAGCACTAACTATTGACCAAACAAAATGCCAATTTAGAAAGACACATTTAAGGATCTTTGCAGAGGTCTTCTGTGTCCCTGATAAGGACCAGTCTAATTCAGTTTTTAAATTTGTGGGCTTAAAACCAAAGCTGTGATTTAAAAATGTAAAAAGAACAAGCACACCAAGAATGATATACATATTTTTATCTTCTCTCTACCTAGCAGGTTGTTGAATATATACGGCCTCTCGTATTTTACACTCCATTTATGAGCCCATAAAAAGAAAAGATTCTATATTTGAACATGTCAACTTAGTAAACATGCATTACCAGATAGAATTTCTCAAGCCAATTATTTCTATATTTAGCTTACACACACACACACACACACACCACTTCACTGAAATACGTATTATCCCCAAATTAAATACAAGTGCATAATGGAATCCTTTCTGCTACGTATTTATCCCATCTCTGCTCAGTCTAGTATTACTGAAGAGAGAACAGTTGGTTATCATCTTCTTAATGTTTAATTTGCATATCTGCATATAACAGACATATTTCATACATGTGAATATATGTATTGATAATAATAGTATTTGTAAAAGATGTACTTTTGCTTCCATATAAATAAATTCTTCAAATATTATACCTACCTATAAGTAAAATGTTAAAGGTAAACAATATAGAATATAATATTTAGGAGAAAACATAATAAAATATCATAATTAATTCATAGAAGCAAACTTTAAGTCAAGATGATTAAAAGCACAAGAAAAAGGGCGCCTGGGTGGCTCAGATGGTTAAGCATCTGCCTTCGGCTCAGGTCATGATCCCGGAGTCCTGGGATCGAGTCCCACATCGGGCTCCCGGCTCGGCGGAGAGCCTGCTTCTCCCTCTGACCCTATCCCCTCTCATGCTGTTTTTCTCTCTCTCTCTCTCAAGTACATAAATAAATAAAATCTTTAAAAAAAAAAAAAAGCACAAGAAAAAATCATTAAACGTTACAAATGGACTTGCATAACTCCTAATACTTGACTATTTTGCATCTACATAAATTATACCAAAGAAAAGAGATATATAAAATGAATAATAATGGAGTATATACTAACAGCTTCCGACTTGCAAAGAAATGATGCTCTGAAAGCTTCTCTGTAAGTAGATTGCCTGAAACTCAGGGCTTATTTTCATCGTTTTCCTTCCAACATGGAATCATAAAAAATTTTAAGCTTTCAACAAAGTTGAAAGAATTTTTACAATGAATAAGTGTATCCTCCCCCACCTAGATTATCTCATTAATGTTCACTGTATTCACTATATCATAGATCTCAAAATAATTAAATAATTACATTTTCCTTCTGATGGCAGGCTCCTATTCTAGGTCACATAAATTGAATTAAGCTTACAACATGGCAATAATTTATATTAGGTTGTTTAACCTTCTCCAAGAGAGGGTTCAAGTGGTGGAGTTGCATTTGTGTAATAGAAAACTGGGAAATGTAAGAAAGTAGAAGAGATGGACCATCCATAATCATATCACCAAACATAACCACTGTAAATAATTACAAAGCATTTTAAATGTTTTTATTTTGCTTTACATAGAACTAATTTTTTATATAATCATGATCATGTTTGGTAATTTTCATAAGAGTTATATAACTTCTGCTCTCATTTTAAATAACAGCGTATTGACAACATATTGAATGCTAATTGCCTCTTGAACGCTTGTCCAAAACTTACTTAACCATTACCTAACCATTACTTAATTCCCTTGTAATGTACCATTTGGGTGGTTTTCATTTCTTACTATCGTAAAAATGCTGCAATGAATTATTTTGTGCTTCAATTTTTCTCCCTCATCTGTTTTCTCTTAGATTCAGAAGTGAAATTACTGTTTTAGTAGGAGAAAAAATTATTCTTATTTACCCAGTTCATATTATGCATTAATAAACACTCCATTCTTTATCTATTTGTAAACATCCACTTTTGATATCAAAGGATGAAAAAAATCAATAACATCTATCCTCTGATATTTAAGATATGTCTCTTTCCTGTTTCAACAAAAATGTCCTATTTCATACTTTACAGCAGGAAGTCTAATAATTCAAAAATATAGTATGTTTTTGAGGTAGGTATACAGTGAGAAAAAAAAGCAGGGGAGTGTCTGTTGCCACAGATGGAGATAGAAAGATAGGAATATGACCACTCTCTACACTGGAGAGCCATCCATATATCACAAGAGATAAATTAAGCTAACCTGTACTCAACACGACTGCTGTATGTTTCAATATGACTTGGTGCTCATAAGCTATTAAAATTATGGAAAATAAAAACATCAAAAATATTTAAAGTAATTTATGGCAGCTTTTAAGTTGATGCTGCAGTGTGAGAGTTGTGTTAAGAGTGAAAAGAGGAATGAATTAATGAGGATAAGAAATAAATTATTGGGTGAGAAATACAGTAGTCCTCTCTTATCTGTGGAAGATACTTTCTAAGATCCCCAGCAGATGCCTGAAGCCATGGATAATACTGAACCCAATATATACTATTATACCTGTGATAAAGTTCAATTTGTAATTAGGCACAGGACGAGGTTAACATTAATAATAAAATAGAACAATTATAACAATATGCTGTAATAAGTGTTATGTGAATCTCTCAAAATACTCATTAGACTGTACTCACCCTTCTTCTTGTGATGATGTGTGATGATACAATGCCTACATGATGAGATGAAGTGAGGTGAATGACTAGACATTCTGACACAGCAGATGCTACTCTGGCCTCCTGACCATGAGCCCAAAGGAGGATCATCTGCTTCCAGACTTGGTTGACTGGGGTAACTGAACCCAAACCAAAGAAAGTGAAACTGTTGAAAGTGAAAGCTCAGATAAGGGGGACTAAGGGTAAAAGTGCGAGGAAGTATCTGGCAGATTCAACACTGGAGGAAGCAGTACATTAACAACCAAAGGACAGAAACATCAAAACCTCTCTGTTACACATATTAAGATTGTTTCATCATTATGATCGTTGCCTTGGAATGTGTAACAACTTTGTACCAGTGATTAAAAACCTTGTTTGCACAATGGAGGAAGATTTCTTCAAACTCTTATTAATAAAAAGCACTCTGGGTCCTAAACACTTTCATCCAATTCCAAGGTCTTAAAGCAACTTTTGAAAATCCTTTCAGTGACAACCATTAGAGAAAAGGAAAGCTTATTTTATACCTGGCTCACAGGGAAAGATCTCCCACCAGCGTCACAAATGCAGGCTCTGTATAGAATATTGCTTCATGAAACATTACATTAAGGCCTGGATACTGCCTGCTTACATCTGTTCCCAGCCCCAAGACACATCATTAGAACTCAACCATCACTACCTAAAATCTACATTTAAAAAAAATTATGAATACATCACATTGATGGGCTGCTAATCTACTTCTCTGTGTGCTACATTTCCCCATTCTTAATGGAAATTCTCATCGATTACTTAATCTTGTTATGCTTTTGCTAAGTGAATTAATATGCTTAGGATGTTAAATTGAACGATCCCTGTTCATCTGCTTTAACTTTATATTTTCACCAGGTTGACAGATTAATTTCTAAGAAAAAACCATTAGCAATAGTCTTCTCCCTGCTATTAAACATGACATATGAAATGAAAATAATTTGAAACAGCTGGAGCAAGACTTTCCAGGATAATACTTAAGGACTATGCCAAGTGAAACATGAATCCATATTATTATGTTGGAATAAGGTTTGCTATATAGTGCAAAGTTCGAAATAACTTTTAGAGAATTGTCACATATCACTAGAATGGAATGTACAGAAATGGAAAGGAGTGACAGGTCTCCACTGATCTTAGCCAACTACAGAAAAAAAAGAGACTAGAAACTCAGGAGAAGTGACTAAAAGGATAATAAGGAGATATTTGATACGCTTTCATTATAACTGCATTTTCTACAAATCATTGCCATTTGTCTAAAATCAATCAAATTTTAGTTTTAATATTTAGAAATCACTAAAAACATACTATCTTAAGTCAAAGAAGTATTAGAAGTTCATTTCCTAATATAAATTATTACAAACCAACTGGACTCTTTAAAAGGAAGTGCTGAATCCTTGAACCATAGAGTTGCTGAAAAAAATACTGAAGTATTTACAGACAAATTGGTATGATTGATACTTAAGATTTGATTATTTTAAATAATCCAGCAGGGCGAGAGGATTGAGAGGAGTAGAGAAGGTCAAATTAGCCATGTGTTGATAGTTGTGGAAACCAGGGGATGAGTGCATGAGGGTTTTCGTATTTCCCTATCTTATATATTCATCATCCACAAAATAGATTTTTTTTTAAGGAAGCACCTCTACAGCATTTATTTAAACCAACTCTAGAGACAACATATGTAAACATATGTGTGGGAGAGAAACAAAGAAAAGAATACCCAAAATGCTAAAAATACTTTGTTTCCTAATAGACAAGAAAGCATTCCTCAAGAAAATACTGAGGCCAGAAAAGGCAAACTAAATAAATGACCAGGTTTGGAACCTAGAGATCCTAGAGATCAATGGTAAAACTCTACAAGTAGTGAGAACTCAGGAATTCTCTCTTCTGGTTCCTTCTGAGCAAACTGCATCCAAGAATTGAACTCCACATGGTTGGCAGTTAGCTTGTTGGTTAACAAAAAGTGCCAACCACAATACTAGGTGCTGAGGATACCAAGAAGAACAAAAGCATCCCCTTTTGTGAGAGAGCCAGGTACTCAAATAAATTATTACAATATATATAGTAAGTAATATAGCAGGATTATGAATAATACTACAGGAGGAGAGAGAACAACCTAATTCTTTGTGGTAAGACCACAGCAAATTTATGACAGAGATGAACCTAGAACATGTGATTTCTTACCCCTAGTTTAAGGTTATCTTTGTCAGAAACCAATGGCTTGGGGGAAAAAATTCTCTTCAAATTAGATTTTCAAAAAGATATGTCATAAGGATACACAGAACACAACTGCAGAAAATATAGGAATAATTGCAGAAACTATAGGAACACAATTGCAGAAAATGTGAGAAATATAATAAAAGAAAGGATTTATCAGACAGCAACTCTGGGCCACATCGTTTCTCATCTCCACACCCTTCCTGTACTTGTTTCCGTTTCTTTCTACAAGCCAGTGTCTCTCCTCACTTATATGATTTTATATGAACCATATCATGGCTACCTTGAAGTGAAAGGAAATCTGCCTAATCCCAACCCAGTCTCCTACAATTAATGGATTTAGTCTCTAGGACCTCATTCCAAATTCCCTGGAGAGGGAATGTTATGAGTCATATTCTCATCAAGTGCTCTCCCTCATGTAATCTGCTGTGGAACAAGGAGGCAAGACTATTGGAGCTAAGCCCTTTCACTCTGTGGCTGAGGTGCAGTCTCTCAGAAAGGAGCCCGGTAAGAGCTGTGTCCACTACTTCCTCAATAAGTGTGTTATGCAAATTAATACAACCCTAATATAAAGCTTTCTGAAACTGCTATAGAAGAGAGCTCTCTGGTAATATTATATTACACTCTGTTAACATAAACTTGTCTTTTTTTTATGTTATGTTAATCACCATACATTACATCATTACTTTTTGATGTAGTGTTCCATGATTCATTGTTTGTGTATAACACCCAGTGTTCCATTCCATTCAGAACGTGCCCTCTTTAATTCCCATCACCAGGCTAACCCATGCCCCCTCCCCCCTCCCCTCTAGAACCCTCAGTTTGTTTCTCAGAGTCCACAGTCTCTCTTGGTTCATCTCCCCTTCCGATTTCCCCCCCTTCATTCTTCCCCTCCTGCTATCTTCTTCTTCTTCTTCTTTTTTTTTTTTAACATATAATGTATTATTTGTTTCAGAGGTACAGGTCTGTGATTCAACAGTCTTACACAATTCACAGCGCTCACCATAAGCTTGTCTTTTGAAAAAAAAAATCAAATGATAAAAAACATAACTTAAGAGAGATACAAAGTACCTTGTTTTGTTAAAAGGAGATGGGTTGATACTTTTTGAAAAGTCACCGAAGCAAAACAAAGGTAACAACAATGAAACAGAACAACAATAGGGGTAAGGTTTAACTCATGTTAATGAAATTTCCCCAACCCCAATTCCTTAGCGTTCATAAAGGATTAGAAAATAATTATATAGGGGCACACAGGTGGCTCAAATTGGTTAAGCATACGACTCTTGATCTCAGCTCAGGTCTTGATCTCAATGTCATGAGTTCAAGCCCTGCATTGGGTTTCATGCTGATTGTGGAGCCTACTTAAAAAAAAAAAAAAAAAGATGATAGAAAAAAATTATATAAAGATACAAACACTATGGTGTTATACTCCATTCTTTCTTAAATCTACAGATTATATGATATTGTACTCAGAAAGGACGATGTTTTCAACACAGAAAAAGGTCATAAATTATGCTTTTACCATATACTTATTTCAACAAAATAGATTTTGTAAGCAAGAAAGGATAAAAAAATTAAAATATATTCAGAATCAAATGTGCTTCATCTTCTTTGCCAGGAGCAGTTTGGTTGACATTTCTTTAATACTTCAGACTATAAAACACATATTCCTAAGTAGTTTGCAGCAATAATGAGATCATAGGAGGGATTATGTGTGCAAGAAAGAATCTCAGATCAAAGAGAGAGAATTAGGCAGAATCTCATGCTGAGGAAGAGATAACCCCGAAATATCATATTGCCCATAGAGTATGAGAATGAATTAAAGCAAAACAAGTTCAGAAAGGACACACACCACCACCAACAATGACATATTAGAGATGGCTATCATCTAGATACCAAGCTACAGAGTTTTAGAAAGTTGTCAGCCACTCAAAAGGGAATTCTGATAAAAATGGAAATTTAAGAACTAGCTTACAAATAATCCTATACCAAAAATTAACTAAAAAGACCAAGTAAAAACTAGAAGAGAAAGAGAATCCCTTCTAATACTCACTTAGAGAAGTATTAAAACCATATGGCATAAACTTAAAGGGACTTTTATCAGATATACACAATTTGGATAAAACTGAAAAAAAAATAGCATAAGCTGAACCACAACCCTTTTACTCAAGAAAATATTTTATAGTAAATAAGTGGAGAAAGTTCCAATGAAGCTAATACCCCCCAACTTGGAAAAACAAAAGAAGGTGTTGTTACCCAGGGCATGGGAGAGACAGGCCCTCCTTTCCCTCCCACCGACCAACAGCCTTCTATGGGCTTAGCACGTGATGACAGTGTGCCCGTCCTCCAACCCAAATCCCAGGTGGAGAGGATGGGTTTGTCCCATGACTGCAAAGGATCGATGCCTACCTTCAGAAGCAAGATCTGGGGGCAAGCGGAAGTCTAAAGTAATCAGAAATAAGAACTAACTTGGAGTAATTTTATACTTGCTGACAAAGAGTGGCAGAAGACATTGGAACAAAGGTATGTGGAGTCTTAAAAAAAAAAAAAAAAAAAAAAAGGTAGTCCATAGCCTTCTGTGTTTGTCTCTCCAGTGTGTTTAGTCAAAGAATTAGAATCCTGAAAGTCACCCACCAATGAACTAGCTACCCCTCCCTAAACCAAGAGACATTTAAGTATAATAATTTTTATGAACATAGAGCACTCGTTTTCAAAGACCAGTTTCTTCAGCTGGGACTATTCATGGCCGTACTCTTTCCCCATGTCTCACAGTCTGTGAAATGATGAAAGAGGATCCTCCAGGGATCTTGGAAGAATAAATAAACAGGGACAGTCATCAAGAAAGTTGACT